TCATCAGAGATATGGAAAATTTCCAAAGTTTTCACTTCTGCTTTTTGAGTAACTGTAACCCTCTTTCCCCTTAAGTCTTATGAATTAGGTTTGTTTCCATATGATAAACTATGGCTTGTAACAGTATCTGATTGCATATGATCTCAGTTCTCTAACTATTCTATTATTTAATTTAAACATCTTCCAACCATAGGTGGCTTTTACTTAAACAACAGACCCATCATTACCACCACCTCCAAAATTTGTGATGAGACCCATTTTATTCAGTCTATAAGTTGCCCCGGATTCCAGCCCAAATCAGGTTGGAAAAAGAGATAGTTTTACACAATCATTGCCTTCAGAGCTCTGCTAGTGATTTTTTGAATTTTAGAATATACCAAATAATTTTGATTATAATTTTCATATTCTACTTATTACTTAGATTTCACATTGAAGCACTTTACGCCAACACCTTCCCTCTATGGATTACTGGATTTTGGATTATCATTTGCAGGAATAGGTCTTCTTTTAACTAAATTTAAACTAAATTTAACATCTTTTAACTAAATTTAGTCATTATATTCATCTGTTCTGCTAAGTTTTTTAATAGTACAGTATTATTATAATTTCAGGTCTGAAGGTCTGCAAGACAAATATTTGTGCCTATGTCTGAGATTTTACTACTCCTGCAAATGTGTAAAATGTCATTGTTACGCTTTTCAATACTGAAGAAGCTGTGATTATCCTTTTTTTTTGTACAATTAGATATCTAATTTGAAATGTGCTCCGGACTATTCTCTGCAATTATAATTTTTATTATTTGTAGATTATCAAATATCATCCTGAACCAAACAGTGTTGCTATATTTTTGGACACACATTATATACTTTAACCTTTGGTTTTAAACTGGTTTCCTTTACATGGCTTCCAGTGCTAGTTTCCAGAGCTCTCAACGAGGATATTCGTTGCTCATTACGAAAGCAACAGCACACTAAGGATTAAAAGACCCCGCTCCTATAAATTTGGTACTGTACACAGAGTTGAAACCAAATAAACCTGTTTACCATTGTCCCTGACCCATTTAAGGAAATAAATGTGTAACAGCCTTCTTGATTGATAAAAACTTTGCCATTCAATATTATTATTTCCATATTCACATAAGGGAAACATGCATTGTATACTTTGTATACGTATACTAGTAGAATTTCCAGCCCTTTCCCCCTGCCTTTTTGCCTTTTGAAATGCTGTAACGGATTAATTCCATTCCCATGCATTTCAGTGGGAAATGGTACTTCGACTTATGAACTTTTCAACGTACGAACATTGTTCCAAAATGGAGGTAAGTAAGTCGAGGTACCATTGTACCAAAATCCTGTTGCTTAGCATAGTAAATTCCAGTAGAATAGGCCCATTCATTCAGTCAGGATGGAGTAAGTCCATTCCTTTGTAAATTCCAATGATTCAAATCGGCCTACTCTAACGGGGGCATACTTTAGCATAGTAAATTGCAGTTAAAGTAGGCCCATTTGAATCAGTGGATCTTATGGAGGAGTTGACTTACCACATCCACATTGATGTGGTCGGTCTGCTCTTGTGCAACAGGATTTTGGTTAGCATGATTCAGTAATCTGATCTGGATGTAATTTACGCAGAAGCTTTGTCTTCTCCAAGATGGTACACAAACCGCATCCAGAAATATCTCCAAACTACAAATTTGGTTCCTCTGAGGGAATATGGCTACATCCCAAATGTATTATACTACTTTCTTTATATTAGTTTTTTAAAAATCTGACTCCCATTTCTTCTGCCTGTCTTCCTTGGTATTCCCCGAGCATAAAAGGGTGTCTTTTGTACATCCTCCTCCACCAGCACCACCACCAGCACCACCGTGTCATCAAGTCAATTCTGACTTATCGTGACCCTTTTCAATGTTTGCTAAGTACAGAGTATGCAGAATTTATTTATCATTCCCTTCTTTTCGGGTGCCCTTGGACTGTGTATGTGGCCAGCTAGGTTTTCTCCTGAGAGGCACAGTGGGGAATCAGAGTCCGGCTTTTGCAGTCAGGTCTTACCTCACTGAGCTGTCCAGCCAACCTCTACAATTTCATAGTTGCTTTGTTAAGACTTAGACCAAGCTCTTGTCTCTATATACTTGCTATCTTTATGTTTGAGTCTGCCAAGGTAACATCCTTGTAAGAGAAGTCAAATGAGTGTTTACAGTGGTGCCTCGCAAGACAACATTAATCCATTCCACAGTTAATGCCAGTGAAAATGTCATCTTGCGAGGCACGGTTTTCCATAGGAATGCATTGAAATTTAATTAATGCGTTCCTATGGGGGAAAAGTCCAAAACAAAACAAAAAATAAATCACTTACCTCAGAACAGTAGAAAAAAGGGCATCAAACAGCTTGGAGCTGGCACCCAGCAGCCATTTTCTGCTGTTCTGTGCTCCAGCCCCTCCCCCTCCCCTCCTTACAGCTGATCAGTGCTGGGTCTTAGAAGCTTCCCCAGACTTGCCCAGCAGGTAAACGGGCAGTGGAAATGAACCGGGGAAGTCTCTGAAAGCTGTGCTTTGCCTGACTGGGG